ATATGGATAACGAGAAACTAAGGAAGAAACATACTAGTAGAAAGTTAAGAAAAATAGGAGGGCCCGTCTCACCCGATGTTGGGGCCCCCAAAATCAAAATTGCCCACGCACCAGATGCTAAGCACTGGGCGTGAGGTGGGGTGTTAAAGAATGACAAAAGTCCCATATCGGTGGCTAATGAGATGGGTGGATTCCTTATAAGGCTTGGGCAATCCTCCTCCCTTTGAGCTAGCTTTTGGGTTGTGAGTTAGGCCTAAGACCTAATTTAACATAGTTTTGTTGCTTACCGTCTGAAACCATCAACGATGGTGAGATTCAGATTATGTTAATAAGTTTCATTTCATCATAGTTAAATAAAGATGAAAATTTTAAGTTGTAGTTATTTTGTTGACAGAAGCTTTGTAGAAGAAAGAAAGAAACTCAAAGGATACAAAAAATGTTAGAAGGAACCTTGACTGCACTAATGGATTGCATAATATCAGAGGATGGTGGAGTTGCTGAAGAATTTGATACTCTGGTTTCTCCTCAACCAGAAGTAAGAAGTAAACACTGTTTGTACTTCTTCTATTACAGTCAATTCTGATCAGTTTAATAACATTGAACTTCATTATTACAGCCTGCTGATGTGGAGAATGACCCTGTTTCACCAGTGGATATAAGAAGATCATCAGCCGATAACAAAGCAAATCACCAATCAGCTGCTTAGTGTTTTATTTGTGGACTACTTTAGCTTTCTATGAATTTGCATTTGTAATGATTGCCAAGACTCTTTGTCCATACTTTAGTTTGATGTCAGTATTTAAATTTATGACTTGCTATTTTGGGTATTTATGATTACATATTGAATTTTCAGTAGATTATTTATGCATATGACTACACATTTAATGTATGAAGCCTAAGTTTATATCTGATGTACTCTTAAGTTGATGGGGCTGCGACAATTTTCTCAAGCCGTTACTCTGTTACTGTCCAAATTTAAATTATCTATGCAGATGTGATTTGTGGATTTTCAAAGCTCAAGCAGCAAATTATTTCTAGTAACAAATGTTGATAATCGGGGGAGGTGCTTTGCTTGGTAATCTTGTTACATCCCAGATGTTGTCCATATAGATCAAAAGCGAGATGAAATACCAAAATCTATTCATATTTGTAGAGAACCTGCACATTTAGATAGGCTTAAATAATTGCAGCTCAGTATTGACATTAGATGGAGCAACGGAGACTGCAGATGGTGATTGTCACCTCGTTGGAATACTTGGCAACAGAGAAAAGCAGAGTATTATGATAAGACTCTTATCCAGTTATTTCTCTTCATCTCTTTTTAGCTGATCTTACATAGACCTTCAACGCCTTATTCTCACCTGGAAAAATCTTAGCTTCTCCACACTCCTTTAGAAGCTTGTCGAACAAAAACAAACTCAAAAACAGGGCCAACATCCAGCTCTGTATACTATCGCAAAAAAGGGCTGTTCGCGCCTCAAAACAATCAGCAAGCTCGTGTTAAAAATCAGAGTTATTGAAGCTAGACTCCAAGGGCTATGGTGACCAATTGCATGCACAACATGCTCAAGACTGCAGATGGTAATTGTCATCTCGTTGGAATGCTTGACAACAGAGAAAAGCAGAGTATTATGATAAGACTCTTATCTAGTTCTCTCTGTCTCTTTTTAGCTGATATTCCATAGACCTTTAAACCTTATTTTCACCTGGAAAAACCTTAGCTTCTCCACACACCTTGAGAAGCTTGTCAAACAAAAACAAACTCAAAAACAGGGCCAGCATCCAGCTATGTGTACTATTGCATAAAAGGGCGGTTCGCGCCTCAAAACAATCTGCAAGCTCATGTCAAAAATCAGAGCTTAATCCCACTTCCATTTCTGAGACAACAACTGTGAAAATCCAGTGTAAAATGCCATATATCATATAGGCGCGCACAAGCCCAACATATATATAAGGCTATATCGGTCACAAATATTGGTAGCTCTTAGGTTCTCTGTCAGTAGTGTGATAGATGCCGCAGGAGATTTTTGTCACAGGAGCTTTTCTGTACAAAGTGTAAATATTTGGCTAATTCAATATGGAGATGTGTATAGTTGGGGTGTGGAACCTAATGAAAAACCAAATTTTAAGTAGAGTTCAGTATAAAGAACTTCTGATTCTTTTATACGATACTATCATTAATTATGTTATTGATTTTAACTGCTATATATTTCAATCAACATAATTCAATCTCATTAGTCTTCCAAAGTTGTTTCACAGGTATCCTATTGTTATTTTTTAGTTCTTATATCTTCATTGTAAGTTGTTCATGTCTCAAGAACTTATAAAGATTGTGTAGAAGCTGAGTGTTTCCTATAGTGGTAAGGGTAGAAAGGGTATGTAGAAGGATGTTGATGCAGTAGGTTATGTCAAATTCTGCCAATAGAACGGTCCTAACTTTACATAAACGTCAACTGGAATCCTAACCCAACCTTTCAGTAGAACTGTAGAAGCAAGAGACTAATTTGTTGTTGAGTGATGTTCTTAGGCGAGGTTACAACTTCATCTTTACAGTATGTTTGGAGATCATTTTTACTTTCTCAAAATTTCTTTTCGAACCGGAAACACGGATGAGTCACCTCAATTTTTTGGTCTCTCAATATTCATACAAGCATTTTCTCCCTAATTCAATTCTTCTTATATTTGAACTTCAAACAGCTCATATAAACTTAAACCTAGAGAAATCGAATGAAAAATATAAACTAAAACACAATCAAGGAGAAAGCATGCGAAGATGATAAATTAAGAAATTAAGTAATCAAGCCAAAAATCGAAGCGAGATCTGGCAAATCACCTGCAAATCAAAGAGAAGATGGAAAGCCAAAAAGGCCATCCAAAATAGTAATCTTGTAATGTATACTGTGAAATGTATCACACAATTGTCAATCCTTTTGTAGTGTATGAACATTATTTTAACATTCTTACACGAAATGACAGACATTGCATTTTATCTATTGTTGGTGAATCAATGCTAAAAACAGTAACCTAAACTCGAGTGATGATCGTTTTGTATCACCTGCCCAATTTGCATCAATAAATCCACTAACAAAAATCATCACACCTTTTATACTAAAGTCCATGACTAAGAGACCCCTTCACATAGCACAAAGTCCTTTATGAGACATCTAAATGAGAAGTTGTTGGATTATGGATAGGTTGCGAAATGACACCAACAAGTAAGAACTTTCTGGTTTTGTGATAGTCAAATAAATTAAGCTTCCAACAAGTTGTTGAAAGTTTATCGCATTCAAATGGCAGACATGATTTGGGAATTGCTTAGAGACAAATCCACGAGGTTGCTCCATAAGTACTTCTCGATCCAACTCTCATACATTCTTTTCATCGAGCTGCCACATTTTCTAGACATTGAGTGCATCAAGAGAAATAAGTAACCTTATGTTTTGATTGAATATAAGCTCAAATATATAAACCAAAGATAGAGAACTTTGGTGAATGACGATAATTGTTCGTTAATTACAATTAATAAGAAATGTGTCCTTGAAAAGCTCGATAAATGAGTTAGTCGAGCTAAAACATTATATTATGTTACTTGTACGAATATATAGATTTGAGTATCATGAAATTTGAATTCAATTATAGTTTGGTAAATTAGCGTCAGATCATACATATATTTTGGTATTCGATTTGATTATGACATTCTTGTGAGACATGAAGTACGAAATTGCGTGTTGATCAAAATCGACGGTAAATGTATGTGTTGTTTGGATTTTTGTTTTTCATCAAGATTTTATTGTAGAACTATTATACTATTGATATTTGATTTATATGTTTGAGAATTTCTGTATAACAATATTCTTCTTTTGTGAATCGGGCTAAATAATATCAAATTAATCATTTTCAAGAACTTCGTTATACTTATTTTTATTTTATAACTCAAATATATTACTTTATTATATTATTTGATTTTTATCATATAATTATTTATATCCGAGTATGTATATATATATGTGTGTGTGTGTGCAAAATCCTAATTTTAAAATTAATGAGAACTAAAATTGTCCTAAAATAAATAAATAGAGGAAAAAGGTATTTAATGCCTCAAATATATAACTCTTATTCCTATATATTATATTCCAATTTTCAAAATGGTACAAAATCCTTGGTGTTTTTATTTGAGAAATTAAAAAATTCTACATACGTTAAGATTCTCTTTAAAATATACAACCCCACAAGTGAAAATTTTCATATACTAATAATTAATAAAATATGATAAAATAATTTGAAGCTTTTATATGTTTTGGGTAAATGAGGCTTTTATAATTAATTATTACATCTCAGGTGGGTTTAGCAGATTGAACAAAAATTAAAGCGCAAGTCCTCCTCCATAACTGTACCGTAGAAATCTACAACTTCTTTCCTCTGATTAGGTTTAGGATATAAAGCAAAAATTAGAGCACAAGTCCTCCATAACCTCAATTGTACAAATCTACAACTTCTTTCCTCTAGTTAGTTTTTTTTGGTTTGAAGTTCACACGCTCCTTTCTATTCGGCTTGTTCCATCGTTTCCTTATAGACGAAGAACCATATACATAGGAAGCCCTTTATGGTTATTCTTTCATAGGTTCTTCCGACCTCTGTCAATTTCTCGAATTAGTTTGATTTGAAAGAGAAATTTGATTCTTGGAGTTGATTGCCAGTACAACAAATCTGAAGGCTGCACTTTGGAGGATTTTTTTTGGAGGTATACTCATTTTAATTTATTTTTATTAATTGTTCAATGGATAAATCGTGGATTGGAAAGCCCCAGACCTCAAACGAATACTTGCTTGGTTTGGATAAATTTCTTGATTTTGCATTTAAGAATTCGGCTGTGGAAGATACAATTAGATGTCCATGTCCTATATGTCATTTTAGCAAGTGGAAAACTAAAGTGGAAGTGCAGGATCATTTGATTTGCAAGCCATTCCCTCACAATTATGTTACTTGGAATATTCATGGTGAGAAAAAGGTGTTAGAGCCTTCTGGAGATAGAGTTGTTACGCAAGAGACATTTCATCCAGAAAATCCAATAGAAACAGTGATTGATGATGCATTTGGGCAGTATAGGCAGCAAGTAGTTGATGTAGGGACATCTCAACCATTGGGTTCAACTGGAATATCAAATGAGGGGCATAGGGAGGGTTCTGGTGACTTTCATGATTTTCTCAAAGATGGAAGTGAAACACTGTACGAAGGAAGCAAGTACACAAAGCTAGAGTTTTTAATAAAGTTGTATCATATAAAGGTCTATTGTCGAATGACTGACAAGGCAATGACCATGATACTGGATTTGTTGAGAGATGCATTTGAGGATGCAAAGTTACCTCCTTTTTATGAGGCCAAAAAAACAATTAAGAAACTTGGCCTTGACTACACTAAGATTCCAGCATGTCCAAATAATTGTATGCTATTCTGGGAAGGTGATTCAGAATTGGAAGTATGTAAACATTGCGGTACATCTAAATGGAGTTCTAATAAGAAAAAAAAGCAAGCTGCAAAGGTTTTGCGTTACTTTCCATTGAAGCCAATGTTGAAAAGGTTATTTATGTGCAGTAAGACTGCTGAGCATATGAGATGGCATGCTTCGGAAAGTAACCCAGATGGGCTTATGAGGCATCCAAGGGATGGTGAGGCATGGAAGACATTTGATCAGATTCACTCTGGATTTTCTTCTGATCCTCGAAATGTTCGCTTGGGCATTGCTACTGATGGTTTCAATCCCTTTGGAACAATGAGTTCTACCTATAGTATTTGGCCAGTCTTCTTGATTCCGTACAATCTTCCTCCCTGGATGTGTATGAAACACACCTCCTTCATCTTATCAATGATCATCCCAGGCAAGCAAACGCCTGGAAATAATATAGATGTATACTTACAACCGCTTGTGAAGGAATTGCGTGAGTTATGGAATGATGGTGTTGAAACATTTGACTCATCATTGAATGAAACTTTTAGAATGCATGCAGTTCTTATGTGGACAATTAGCAACTTTCCTGGATTAGGTATCTTATCTGGCTAGAACACATATACTGGTTTTGCCTGTCCAACTTGTAACTTTGACACTGAACCTTGTCGTCTCCATCATGGTAAAAAGTGGTGTTTTATGGGTCATCGACGATTTCTGAGAAGAAATCACAGATTTAGATTAAGCCGAGTACGCTTTAATGGAAGCACAGAGGAGAGGAATCCACCATTAAAATTATCAGGTTCTAACATTTTGAGACAAATTGCTGAAGGGAGAGGAGTAGAGTTGAATGGTAGAAGGAAAAGATCTAGACGAGCAACTAAACAATGGAACAAGAGAAGTATATTCTTTGAACTTCCATATTGGGAGTCCAACTTATTGCGTCATAATCTAGATTTTATGCATATTGAAAAAAATATATGTGACAATATCATATATACGTTGCTGGATGATAAATCAAAGTCAAAAGATAATGCTAATGCTCGCAAAGATCTAAGAGAAATGAGAATAAGGCCTGATCTTTGGCTGAAGGATGATGGATCGTATAACCTAGTTGTGTTTTCACTTATGACTGATAACAAAAAGGTGGACACTAAAAAGTTGTTTCTTACAACTTTGAAGAATATTAAAGTACCAGATGGCTACTCAAGTAACATTTCCAGATGCGTTGATCTTGCACAGAAAAAAAATTATGGGTTGAAAAGTCATGATAGTCATGTTCTTTTAGAGCAGTTACTACCATTGGCAATTCGCAATGTGTTGCCAAATCACGTAGTTACAGTTTTGGTGGAATTTTCCTCATTTTTCAGAGCCCTATCTAGCAAAACTTTGAATCCTTCGGAGCTTGATATTCTCCAGGAGCGCTTTATAATCACACTTTGTCACCTAGAGATGCTATTTCCTCCATCATTCTTTACTGTAATGGTTCATTTATCAGTTCATCTAGTAGATGAAGCAAAACTCGGAGGTCCAGTGCATTATCGAAACATGTATCCTGTGGAGAGGTAAAACATTAACATTTTTCTAATTTAAAGTTATGTGTTTTCTGGAAATACTAACATTTATAATTTATAGATATTTATGTTCTGGTCACCTTAAATAGTATGTACACTTACTGTATATTAATTTTCTAGGGAATTAGGTTATTGTAAGCCCTATGTACGAAATAAATCACAACCAGAGGGTTGTATAGCTGAGGGTCATATAGCTGAAAAGACTCTTACCTTTTGTTCTTGGTATATTGAGGATATTGAGACAAGGTTCAACAGACCTAGGCGTGTCCGTGATGAACCAACTGATATGCCTTCTGGAATGTCATCTCTCTTCCCTCAATTGGGTAAACCTGCATCAGCTTCAGAAAACTTCCCTTTAAATCCTATGCAGAAACTACAAGCTCATCGATATGTTCTTCTGAATTGTGCAATAGTCACGCCATTTGTGGAGTGAGTAACTCTTACAAACTTTATGTTCTTTGTCTTTGTAATGTTTGAAGTAGGCTAATCATACTCTTTAACATTAACTTAATAATTTCATATAACGAATTTAGAGAATACATAATGAGGAGTTCAAGGGAAAGAAGACCTTCACCTACAGAGATAGAGAGGAGAGTTAATAAAGAGTTTGTTGATTGGTTTCAAAAGCAGGTGAGTAAGCAATCATTATTTATTGTTTATATTTGATTTGAATGAACAAATTTGACTAAGTCCATTTTATTTTGATTTAGATTATGAATCAAGACACAATAGATACAATGTCTATCGATCTAAAGTTTTTAGCACGAGGTCCATCTGTAAATGCAAGAAGATTTACTGCATATAACATCAATGGGTCCAAATTTCGAACTTTGGCTCGAGAAGAAGGTTTGAAAACACAGAATAGTGGAGTTTTCTTAACCTCCAAAACATCATGTGTTGCAAGCAGTGTTGATGGAAATTTAAGGCAAGCAGAGTTACCATATTATGGGAAGTTAGAAGATATTATTGAGATTAATTACAATGGACGGTTTAAGGTTGTTCTTTTCAAATGTAAATGGGCTGATACGACTCGAGATAGAGGGTATCAAAAGGATCGTTGGAATTTTAATTGTGTTAATTTTTATAGATTGATTCATATTGGTGAACGTGAAGAACATGAGCCTTACATCGAAGCATCTCAAGCACAAACAGTGTACTATGTGGATGATATTGTCAATAAAGGGTGGAGTGTTGCTGTGCATCTAAAACCAAGAGATTTATATGATATGGGAGAAGTAATGGAAGAACAAGTATATGAGAATGAACCATACCAAGAGCAAGAACTCGACCAATTTTTCACTGATGGTGATGAGTATGTTCAGCTAGCTACAGATTATATAATTGATGATACAGTAGAGGCAAATTTTGCTACTAACCTAGCAACAGATGCAATGTCTGAATGAGTTTTACTGAAGATTTTCGTTAGTCCTATTTTTTTATTGAAATTTTCTATGTTGATATGTTTATTGGCTTTTAATGGATATGTTTGATTCATTAGAAAAAGATTGAACTTTTGATTGGAGAATGATTTTCTTTTAGAGATTTGATTTTATATTTCAAAGGACTTAATTATGATGAAATTCATTCAATGAGGCTTTGATTTGACTAATTCAATCGAGCCGAGTTAATTGTGGTGTTAAACTGTGCATAGTTCTTTCTATAGATAAATTGTAATTTTTAGCCAAGTCTAGTTAATTGTGGTGTTTAACTATCTGCTCAAAGCAACCGCGAGCGACCAGGGAGAAAGGACATGTCTGCTCGAGGAGATGGACTGACAAATCAGTAGTTGAGGACTTATTGTATGGCTATGAGGTTCGTATACTTATTCTGATATTTGTTTAGAATGCTCATTAACTGTGAAATTCCTTTTCGAAAAATATATTGGAATCCTTTCCTTTTCTAATACATGTTATTTGATAATTGGACGGGTGTTTGCAATAACTATTCCATGTTTATAAGCAAGATTGTATTTCATCTTGAAACAGGGTACGTAAGTCTCAGTTTGTGATCCCCATAATCCATTCCCTGTTTTGAATCCTTAACTACATAATAATGGTTCCAACTATGGTATTTCTCATAATTAATTTCTCACTATAGCTTCTGATATTTCTCGACATGGTGAGATACATGACGTGAATGGTGAGAAGGTTGCTGTAATTTATTATGCTGGTGAAAAACAAACCATGGAAGAAGAGAAAGACGAGAAACCAAGCTTCAAGATGTGAAACCATCAATATCTTGCTCCTCTGGATTTTAACTTCCTTAATTTATTGGTGTATTTTTTTTTTCAAAGGTCGTACTTTAAAGCTCCTTCCTTTGATGTGGTATTTGGGAATAGTGAAGGCTAGCTACTAAGCTGCGGACGACATTGAGGAATCAAGATGTGTTTGAAGGTACACACATCTTCTACATTTTATTGGTATTATGTCTATATTGTGACCTGCTGAATTGATCTTATACCTATTTACTTATATTGCGCTCAGTATTACTTAATGATAAGAAACCCTTGCTCGACATTTGTTTTTTTAAAACCTAGTCAATCTGCCGCATTTTACTTTTAAAAGGTCTCGAGATACTTAATACAAGCAAATAAAGCATAAAACAATCATAGTCAACATCAGGGGAGTTTTATCACAGACTCGTCTCGTAGTGCCTGTGAAAGAGTCAGAATAGCAAAAAGGGTATCTGCACACAAGGTAAGTTATTTTTCAGTTTCATAAAGAGTAGTTTACACATGAAAATATGAAATAAATAGCAGCATAGGCTTGCAATGCTCATAAAGCATCTCTGGCAGCAATTCTGGGGGTGATAGCATCTTCAAATGATGATACCTCTAGTTCCAAATTAGACATCTTGTTAATGTTTGTGAATCTGGCCTGGTTTATTCTTTTTTCTGATTCCGTCAAGTCAATTTCATTGTCCTTTATGACTTTTTCTGTGGCTACCATCTCATCAGTCGATAACTCAAGCACGTTGCCAAGATGTAGTCTGTGTTGTCTGTGATACCACATCTTTTAAAATACTTCAAAATATGATAAAATCTCAAGTAGTTGTAAACATGCTCAAAATGGAGAGTTCACAAAGTCAGTGAATCTCGTGATTTAGCTTCAAATATCTTGTGTGCTAATGTCAAAATAGATTAAAGCATAAAACAACCATAGTCAATATCAGAGGAGTTTTAGAGTTTTATCAGACTCGTAGTGCCTGTGAAAGAGTCAGAATAGCAAAAAGGGTATATGCACACAAGGTAAGTTATTTTTCAGTTACATGAAGAGTAGTTTACACATGAAAATATGAAATAAATAGCGGCATAGGCTTGCAATGCTCAAAAAGCGTCTTTGGCAGCACTTCTAGAGGTGATATCATCTTCAAATGATGATATCTCCAGCTTAAAATTAGATATCTTGTAATGTTTGTGAATCTGGCCTGGTTTATTCTTTTTTCTTATTCCGCCAAGTCAATTTCATTGTCCTTTATGACTTTTTCTATGGCTACCATCTCATCAATCTATAACTCAAGCATGTTGCCAAGATATAGTCTTTGTTGTTTGTGATACCACTTCTTTTAAAAGACATCAAAATATGCTAAAATCTCGAGTAGTTGTAAACATGCTCAGAATGGAGGGTTCACGAAGTCAGTGAATCTCGTGATTTAGCTACAAATGTCTTGTGTGCTACTGTCAAAACAGAAAAAATACATCTAGGACAAGTGATGAATTCAGAGATGCTACTTCTTGCTCTAGTGTTGCAGACTGCATTATGTCCAGCAGTTCTTTCTTCTGCAACTGGAATTGCCCATTTTTTCCAAGACCTAGCTCCCTTTGACTGTAGCAGGCAGTTGGTGGTAAGTGTAAAAATGTTGAGTTTCATCAGTGTTGTGACTGTCTTTTGAGAGGAAATCTGCAGTACTATTAGCCTCTCTAAATGTGTGCTTGCACTGGATAAACTCAAGTTGGTTGATGAGTCTGAATGTCTTTGATCTGCTCCTACAACTTCCAGGGAGGTTGGCTGCTGTGTGTGATCCATTTTGTAAGTTGCTCTGAGTCAACCTCTAGGATAATTCTTTTGTATCCATGTTGTGTGCACCAGTATAAACCATGAGCTGCTGCCTGAACCTCTGCCAAGTTATTGGTACCAGTTCCTAAGGAAACAGTGTATGCATAAATCATGTCACCTTGTGAATCTCTTAGTATACCTCCCCCACCTATTTTTCCAGGATTACTCAAGGCACTCCCATCACTGTTAAGTTGAAAGGTGTTAGGTGGAGGTCTTTCCCAGTTAACTTTCCAGACCCTCAACTCATGCCTGCATCCTTCTATAAGCTTGATCAGATCAATCCAAGAACTAGGCCAACATATGAATGAATATACAGAGTGGAGTAAGTAAAACATATCTTTAAAAGTGAGGCACTTGACCCTTGCAACACTTGATTCCCCCCCCCCTGCCCAATACCTAGTTGAACACCTATTTTTCCATAGGTTCCAGCAAATAAAGAGGGGAAGGGTGTGTGCTATGAGTTTCTGTACTTCATTCTTGCATTCAACATCCCACCAGGTCAGTAGAAGATTTCTCAAGGAAGTATGTCTATGGTGAATACCAACCATAAAGAGAATTTGGTCTCAATATCCACCACTTACAATTAGAAATAGTGCAATACCTGATTTTGGTTCCTTATATATGAAAACCGTGTTAAGTTATGCTAGAGATGCTTTATATTTCTTAAGACTAATGTAATATTTGTGCTAGTGAAACAGTTTGGTAAGTTAGTCATGATAGAGATGTATCAATTCTGCATGTTCCCTACAAAAGACTAGCTGATATAGAGGATATGCAGACCACATGTCTCAATCATCACTATTAAACAAACTATAGTAAGTTTTATTATAAACAGAGTTAAGCTTTGGTATAAAATATCAAAACCTAAGATGTCCACCAGCTGTGGTTAATTGGTGATTTTCAAGTTAGGATCTGTTACCTGGTAGTGGTTTAATGTACAATTGCTTTCGTTAAAGGGACAATTATAAGTATATTACAGTCTGATTCTGGAAGAGCTAAAAGTATGTTTCTACTATTCATCTTTTGTGTTGCACTTGCAGATTAGACGTCCATTCCCATGGAGACACTACTTTCAAAAAACACATCGTCTCTTCTTTGTGGTTGATAGAAATGACAACAACCATGTTGTTGAGGCAAGGGACAAGCTTCACAGGGTGTTAAATGAGGTAATTTTGATATTACTATAGTTTTTTGTTTTTTGGTATTAATTAAAGAAGATATATATTAACGACGAACTATTACATCCAAGGGCATGTGCCCCAAATTCCAAAGGACAGGCTCAAAAGGTTGTGATACTAGTAGGAGTAGTAGAAGCTGTAATAGCAACAGTATTTACAGGCTCAAAATGGTAGGCACCACACTGACTATTTCTTGACATATTCAATAAACTATGCAGGTAAGTACTTTCTGCTTTATCAGCCCGGGTGCCTCAAGTGTACATTCTGGATCATGCTAAAAAAACTTCCAGTGGAGTAGGTTGTGGGGATTGGGTACCCATGCACACTAACTTGTCAGCCACTAGTGGATTATACCGTGAAGTACAAGCACTTGCAATTATTAAGAAGATGTGAGTACAACTGATTTGGTGTTGTAAGCATCTGTATAACATCTAAGAAGCCTCCTTCAATTTGTAATGACCTTAGGTGGTAAGATTTGGCATAAAGTCCTTGCAGTAGAGCATGCATTTTAACAATAGTTATGGATTCTTTTGGGATTGTTCCAGCAAGTCAGGAATCCAATCACTCAAAGTTAAATGTTTGTTCAGTCTATTTTGTTAGTTCAATCAGTCATATGTGAATAATACTAGTCTATATGTTGTGGGGCCTGATGATGATGTGGAAGACATCAAAGAAGCAGCTATGGAAGATATGAAGTCAGTGATGAGCAGGATCGACAAAACTGGAGAGGGAGTATATGTTCAAGCAACTACACTTGGATCATTAGAAGCTTTGCTGGAATTTTTGAAGACCCCGGAAGTAAGCATACATGTCAGTGGGATTTTGCATAGGTCCTGTGCATAAAAAGGATGTCATGAAAGCTAGTGTTATGCTTGAGAAGAAGAAAGAGTATGCAACCATCTTGGCCTTTGATGTTAAAGTGACACAGGAAGCTCGGGAACTTTCAGATGAACTTGGTGTCAAGGTTTTTATGGCTGATATTATATATCACTTATTTGATTAGTTTAGAGTCTACATTGACACTATCAAGGAAGAAAAAAAAGGAAGGAAGTTGCTAAAGAAGCAGTCTTTCCCTGATTGTACCGAACTGTGTCTTCAACATGAGGGAAATATATAATTAAATTTTAAATAAAAAGTAATTTTCAGTAGCAACAATATTTGTGGCGGATATAAGTTGCCACTAATTATTTATTTTAATTTATTCATTCATATAATTAAATTTCAAATGGAAATAAATTTTCAGCAATAAAAATATGAAGGCGAAATGAAACTGCCACTAATTTTTTTTTAAAAACATTTAAATCATATTGTAGCGGTCGAAAACTTCCACGTAATGTTTTTTAAAAATTTGAAATTATGTTGTGGAGTTTTATAGACCCCCACAATTATTATTTTTTGGTAACATTATGATATATTGTGGGAGTTTAAATACTCCCACAATATTTTTTTCGAAACAGCAATATCATATTGCGAGGGTTCGAAACAGCAATATCATATCACAGGTACTCCACAGTTGTAACAAGTACGATCAAAAGATGGTTTGCCGCCCGTCGAAGGCGCGACTCCCTGTCTATCCTGAAAATTATGAGGTGGAGTTTCTGAGTAACTACCTGTAGGCGGGCATTGCGGACTGAATTGGTTTGGCTGCAAATGTTGGTCTTCCGTACCCCTTGGAATAAGAACCTTGAAAGTTACTCGAGTTCTTAGCCCTTTTTGCCCATGCCTTAGTTTAATCGTCTCGCCTCACCCCCTCCACTTTCTTAACATAGTCTCTCACCTCATTAAAGTTTCTCCCTGCAGAAGTCATATGAACAGATAATACTTGCAACTCATAATTTAGTCCCCTAATAAATAACCGGATTCTCTCTTCCTCCGTAGTCACCAATTGAGTAGCATATCTAGACAAAGAATGGAACTTGGCCTCATAAGTAGCCACAGTCATACCACTTTGCTCCAACGCCATAAACTCATCTTTCTTGCGATCGCTCAACGTCCTAGGCAAATACTTCTCTAAAAATAGAGCATGAAATTGGGTCCAAGTAAGTGGAGGTAAACTAGAAGAGCTGCATTCCATATAAGCTCTCCACCACTGCTTAGCCTGACCTTGAAGTTGGAAAGACACAAACTCAACCCCATGCTAATGAACAATACCCAGTTTATGTAGCCTCTCATAGCAATCCAAAATGAACTCATAAGCATCCTCATTCTTAGAACCAAGAAACACAGTAGGCTTTAGCTTCAGAAACTTAGTCAACATTTCATGCTCATTACCGGTCATAACAGAACCCAACAAAGGACGAAAGAAAGTATCATTACCTCTAGTACCACCCACCTTGGGCGCAGTGCTAGCAACATGAGGATTAGTAGGAGCTTGAGTTGCTTGAGCAGAAAGAAGCACTCCAGAACCAACAAATCCCTTTAAGAACGACATGATCTTTTGAGCTAACAGTGGATCCAAAGGAGGAACACTTGTAGTCTCAGCCTGTACCTCTCCCTCTTGTCCCAAATCCTCAACATCAACATCAACATTCTGCTCTATCTCTTCGTGATGCGTAAGAAGGTTCTCATTCATAGGAGAATTCTCAACAGGAGATCCATTTCCAGTAGGTTCTACTCTTCCACTACCCCTACTTCGACCGAGACCTCTCATTGCAGATTCCTCAACCGGAGCATTTACGAGAGCTATGGGCCTGACGCCGTTGAATCAAGTATTATCCATCTGCGGACAGAAGAGTGAAGGAAGATAGATACCAATTTGAATCGCCAAATACTAATTGGAATCAAGTCATAGCAGGAAAGAAGACAAGAGAAAACAGAGAGATTTCCTAGAGTCCTATAGCCTCTCGAAAAAAAGTAAAGGCATACCTGTACCGTTCCACGAGACTTTACTAGACTCGTTTTGGTACATCGAGATCAACGAACCTAGTCCCTGATACCAACTTTGTCCTGACCGAGACCATCGTGATTGGTACCCACACTAACTCTCCGGTGGGAGAACCACTACTACAACCCAAACCAAGAAACTAAACCAAAACTAAGGCATTTAAGTATATGAAATCAGAAATAATAGCTAAACTGAAGTTCCCATAAACTTCAACAAAAGATCTAACAACTAACAATGCGGAAGAAATAACCTATAACCTAAAAGTCAATGTACCAAAACATCTAACAATGAACCAAGTCTATACAAGATGGGATACAACCCCAACTAATAAACTAATCAACTAGCTAAAATAAATGTCTAAGTCCGAAATTGGTGGAAATAGACGAAAGAGAATTCCATAGCAGCCCGGAAGAATTGGCTCACCCTTGAATTCGAAGCGACGAACACTGATCTTCTAAGCGAGGTCTATCAATAACCGTTTGAAGGCGCCATGTACTCAACAAAAATAAGAGCAAGTGCAGTATCAGTACACAACCATAGTGTATTGGTAGGATCACGCGACTATCCCACTAAGTGCAACATAAACAAGTCAAGACAACATTATAATCACATGCATATATGTCAACATATACAATATTATCAACATTTACGAACAATGAACAACTTCACATTTTGTGTCAAATCATTGGTCCTCTCATGGAACCCAAACCCAAATAGTTAGCATGCTGGAACATGGCAACTGATCCCATATTTATGCCAGAACGTGGCAATCGATCCCATTTTTATGCTGGAACGTGGCAATCGATCCAAGATAGTTATGCCAGAACGTGGCAACCGATCCCATTCACACACACAATCACAATCACAAGTATATCATCAAGATCATACATTTAAGTAATGATTTCATGGCATTCATCAATTATCTATATCATTTACAACACGTGTGACCAACATTGCAACATTCATGCACATACAAGTATCATTATGAAGCAAGAACAAGCATAGATCACGCAATCATAGAATCACCTACGTCGAAACAAGCTCGAAACCCTAAGAAACTTGATCCTTCCCTTTCTGGATTTGTTCTGCTTGTTCTTGGTCTACAAAAAATCAATGTAATACGGGAATCAATAAATAATCATTAATTTTCTAGATTACTAACAATTCTATGAACCCTAGGTCAAACCCATGATCCCAATTATCCAATTTAGGGTTGTTTCCACCTTAGAATCTACAAAAAAACCCTCCCCCATCAATATTCACCAATTCTATTACGTTCTACGGATCTAAAAATGGATTCGGGGAGTGAAAAGCTTACCTTTAGCCTCAAGAATGGTGAAAAACAAGTATTAGTCGCCTGAGTTTTGTTCCTAAGCTCTATAAGTCGAAAAGTGCATAATGAGGTCGTTTAGGGGTTTATTAACGACTTTAATTCATGTAGGGCCCACCACCCCGCCACAGCGTCCCCGACAAAGCGCAAAACCTAGCGCCAAAGAGGCATTCTCGAGACAGAGAGCTAATTCAAGAATTCAAAAATTCTCATTTCACAACACACCTCTAACCCACGACGCCCAGTAATTACTCTTTACGCTAAGATCGATTTCTGGAGTTCTACTCACCCGAATTCAATTTAGTAAAGTCGTACGGATTCCTTAACGAGTTATCTAACTATTTATGTAATCAAAATCATAAATATTGCACCCGATTGTTACAAGATTTCCCTACACCTCGATGACTCCAATTTCGTCCAAATCTGGACAAGGTTGGGAAAGTCCAAATACTATAAAAAAAGTTTTTTGGCCCCAAATTTTCCCCTGTTGTCTTTGCTATAACAACATGAACAGGTCGTTACAATTTATATAGTATAAACCATATTAAAAATACAGTGTAATGAATAATAGAATAAAGTAAAAAAAAATACAAACTAAAATAGATGAATTGTCCACTTATTCAAATGACTTCTTTGTTGAACAATAAATAATTAAATATTATTTGAACCTACAAAATTGTACAACTAATTATAGGTAAGTAGATAAAATTTATAATGAATTATGTTTTGCGAAAACATATTAAGTATATATGATATTCTTCTATAAATGATATTCTTGTTGTGTGTTTCATTTTGTTGTTTTGATTACAAATTTCAACTGTTAGAATATTTTCATTAATCTACTGATTTTATCCACTTATAATTTTGTAATTAGGAAAACATTAATAAACATAAATTACCAACATATTAAATATGAATACCTATTTTTCGTTTATCCAATTTTCTTTATCAAAGGTAGTGTATCATACATTTTCAACTTCAACTTCATCATTAACATTATTTTTTTATAGTATCCAAAATTTCATCGAAGCTCTGAATCTCTAAATATGTATCATTTTCACCTAGATAATCCAATAGGTTATTGACATCTATTTTATTGCGGTAACCGAGATCATTAATCATGAATTCAAGTTCCTGAATGACGTTTTCACAAGTGGATTCATTCAAATTCTCTAACATATCATCTTTCAAACAAATTTTGCAGCGTCGAATAATTTGTTATTGTCTCTTGCTGAACATTTATCGTCCAAGCCGGGACTGCAAAATTGATAACATCCAAAACATTAATCTTTTTTTGCATTAGTTTGTCTCACTTTATAGTCTTTTAATATCCTACAATAAAATCTGTTGCAATAATACATCTTGAAAGGTTTTGTTATCCGAGTATCACAAGATTGAATCTTA